AGCTCCTAAAGCTCTTGTCATCTTCTGGGAAGCAGGAGTGATAGGACCCTCTTTTGTTACAATATTTCATCTTTGACCCTGGTTCCTGATGCAAGAACATCTAAAATTCTTAGAATTTCCTGAATTTTACAGGATAAAAAGAAAATCTTTTGCTGCTCATAGTAAATTACCTTTAGTCATATCTGAGTTTATGGTTAATTCTTAGTAGGTCTCTAGATGGCTGCAGGATGGGAGCTGTTGGCCACTGGAACTTATGTGATTAGAGGACTGGAAGTTTTAGCTGTACATCCTGATCTCCAGGGAAGGGAGAGGGACTGGATATTGAGTTAATAAGCAAAGTTCAATGATTTGATCATCATGTCTATGTATGGATACTCAATTTAAAAATTTCTAAGTGCGGTGGGCCCTAGGGCCTAGTGGTTGAAGGAGCCACGTTTCACATAGTAGAATGAAGTCTGAATCATGGGCCTAATGATTTGAAAGCATTCTGGACGTGTGTGTATTTGTGTGTGTGTGTGTGTGTGTGTGTGTGTGTGTGTGTCTCAAATCCCAGTAGGATGGAGAAATGCAAGAGAAAGGATTTCAGTATGATCATGTTTCATTGGGAGGTGGGAGTGCTTCCTTATAATTTCTCTCTCTCTCTCCCTCTGGCAAGTACACATTCATTCTAGCAATTTTTATTTTTTTAAAGGAAAAGGATAAAACCCTAAATAATGAGGCTCTGAGCTTCTGAGTGGAGACTGCCTCTATGTGCCAAGAGATTAACTCACCCATATCTATGAGAAGCACCTATTCTAGATGGTCCCCTCTATAACTCTTCATCTGCCTGCTCATTTTTATCTTTTATAATATCCTTTCTATTAAATAAACTGGTAATAATAAGTACTGTTTTCCCTGAGTGCTGTGAGTTACTCTAGCAAGTTATTTAACCCAAGAAAGGAGTCCTGGGAGCCCCAAATTTATAGTTGGTTGTTCAAAGATCTTTGGGTGGCCCGTTGGTGTTTGGTGTTGGAAAATTGGTTATTGGTATAGAAAACCACACACGTTTGGTGTGAGAAGTGTTAGTAAGAACAGTTCATACATGCTTATGAAATGGATTTCTGATTCAGAATCTTTGTAGCTGCCCTTTTTTCACAGTCTCCAATGGAGTGTGTTGGATCTGTGGTGCTTTCACTTTCTTTTCTTTCTTTCTCCCCTTGCCACCCCCTGCCCAGCTGTCATTGCTCGGTTCAGGCTCTGTTGCCACTATATCTGTTATAACAATGTAATTCTTACAGTCTCTATAAATTTCATAGTTCACTTCTGTATTTAAAATTTACCGTATAAATTTTATAGTTCACTTCTGTATTTAAAGCGGGGTAATGTGATTAATCTCAGGTTAACAAAAACTGCAAAATGAGACGCATGAAGACTAGTCTACTTATATGATTCCAGCGTGTATCTTCTTTTAAAATTTAATGCTAACAAAGACTCTTTCTCTCTCTCTCTCTTTTTTTATTTTCAGAGAGAAAGAGTGAGTGAGAAGTAAGGAATCACTCCCTAGGGAGGATGGACACATAACAATCCCTTCTCCTTCAGTCTCTTCTCAGAATTCTGGGCACACACACATACATGCCCAACATGATTTTCAAGCCATGAAGTCAGGGACTTGAATCAAGAAGATAGCCATGTGGGATTCAGTGCCTTAACCTCATGCCATTTATTGGCACAGGACTCTTTTGACCAGAATTTTAGTCAGACTCTGACCTGAGTCCCTTCTGACCAGGCCTAAACTTAGGTTTCCTTCTCTGTCCTTGTAGAACCCATTAAAGCAAGAATCCTGGCAAATTAGTTAGTGAGAATCTCCCATCCTTGATATCTGACCAAACTAGGTATCATTTCTTGCCTGCCTTCAGCAATAATTTTAATCAATTTATCCAGAAACACTTTATCCCTGTTTTTGCTTAATATTTTTTGTCTACTGACTCTGACCCTGCTCTTTGGTTATAAATTCCCACTTGCTCTTGTGGAGTTGGAGCTGAATCTAATCTTCCCTCTCAAAGTCCCATTGTAGTGGACCCTGTACCGTCTCCATGGTTCCCCTTCAATGACATCTGCTTTACCATCTTTTTTTTTTTTTTTTTGAGAGGTTTTTGCTATAGGGTGCCATAGAGACAGAGGGACAGAAAGGGAGAAATCACGAAATCACCCCCTGGGGGGGATGGCCACGCCGCAATCCCTTCTCCTCCATTCTCCTCTGGAGATCTTGGGCATACATGTACATACACCCAGCGTGAGTTTAAGCCACCGGGTCTGGGACTCGAACAGCAGTTGACTACGTGGGAGTCCAGTGACACAGGCATTATACCAACTGCTGGTCCCACCATGTTTAACAAGTGTTTGAATTTTTGTTCTTTCCTTGACAAGGCTAATCTAACTATTTGATTCAGCTATACAAGGAATTAAATGATCATGTCTTGGAGGTAAACTAATTTCGGTAATCTAGTGACAAATAAGCTCTGTTTTTTCCTTCCACATTTCCATAATTTGAGAACCCAAAATTATCTCTGTACAAATCTCCATAAATCAGTCTGAATTAGAAAGCTATTATAAACTAGTATTAAATTTACTGAGGGCTTGACATATTTGAGCATCCTTTGAGGTGGTCATACACCAAAATAAGTTCTAATAATGCTAAACGATACTACTGATAATCACACAAGCACTTCTGATTTTTACAATAGTCAATAGACTTTACTGTAATAGAGTTGAATAGAATTTCCTTAAGAACCTCCGAACTTTGTCGCTTATTAGCTTTCAGCACTAGAAATGTAATATGCTATGTGTTGGAGACCACTGTGGGTGATGATGGCCCAGATCTGCTGAAGAACATCTTAAGTGACCTGGCACTGAGTCCTCAAGCACAGGTGACTGCACAGTCTCCTGTAACCCATTTCCCAGAGAAGTGAGCCAATACCACTGAGCTAATATGTCCTGTGTTCTACATAATATCTCTTACAAAGCTACACGAGTACCTCTTCAACTTCCTTTTTAAAGACGTTCTTGCTTATGGAGAAAATCTGCTGTTTGTTTGTTCATCCTTTCCTGTTCACTGTACATTTACAGAATTTTCCGTCATAATTATATATGGTAAATTTTATTAACAAAAGACCACCTATTTACTTCAAAGTACTATATTGCTTGTAATCTGACCTTTGACACAGTGAATACAGAGCACAAGAGAAGTCTATATTCGAGAGTTCTCTTGGATCCCCAGCCCCCTTCTCTGTTAAATTTATCTCGACTACAAGTCTTCTAATACTCACACCACTCGGCATCTCTGTGTCTGTGGCAGATATGTTCACACGATAGTTTCCTGATTTCAAAGTAACATTCCTTTTGTGTGGTGGTCACTTATACAGCTTTGTAAAGGCCAGGTTCCTCCCATATTTTCATTTATTTTTGCTTATCCAATAAACATATATTTGCTACCTGAAACTGAATTAATAAAGTTTAGTCAAGCAAGTCGTATTCCTTTTTAAGTGTATTTATTTCTCCCATTAGAGAAGCAGAAAGAAATGAAGAGAAGTCACCCCCAACAGGCTCTCCATGCCACAATCTTTGCCCAGTCACAGCCGTATGTATGTGGTGTTCCTGGAGCACTCAGGAAGGTCCCAGGATATGAACCCAGGACTCTTCCACACGGGTGTAGCTACATTACCATTGCACCACCACTTGGCCCCTAAGCAAGACATATTCTAATGTTAATTATTTTATTTTATTTTTTTACAGACTTGCCAGTGACTACATGTGCTCATCAGGAAGGGGAAGAGAGAAAGACAGAGATAGAGAAAGAAAGAAAATGAGCAAGCACCCCCATGGGGAATGGTCATGCTGTAGTCCCTTCTCCACTTCTCCCAGCTTTCAAAATTTGGTGGGTGCACCCACATGCACCTGGCATGATTTTAAGCTGCCGGTCTAGGACTGGAACAGCATAGTTGGCTATATGAGATACAGCTCACATACTCACTAGGCAATGGGCTGGCCCTCTAATGCTAATCTTAAAATCTCTATTTATCTGACAGAGTTATAGGACAGTTGGTCAATGAGATCAAATCAGTTTTCTTCAAAAAGGCATTTGAGAAAAATATTTTATATTAGAAAACATGCGATTGATAGACCAATAAACTCATTGTTGTTAATAACAGGAGGGAATTTTTGTTTTAATTTTGACTGTTCCTATAGTAGAAAAAAACTTAACAATAATGTGTTCCCCAAATAGGTGAATGATATTATAACATGTTGATCCTCACTGAATGGCAAATCCTGCTAGAATGGCAGTCACATGGTATAGCAACATAAAATGGGCCTAGGAAACACGGTGACGCGAAGAACACGAAATTGCATGGGCACACTGCTGTACCTTCTCTGCACTGTCTGAATTCTTCGCGAGCCCCATATATTCCAGTTTCCGCAGTTTCTGAGTACACATTTTTGTTTTCAGGGACCTTGGACCCTGTCCCTCACCCTTCCATCTTCAGTCTCCCTCCTTTTCCTGCCCCTATTTCTGTGAGTCACCAGGGATCAGCGTCTCACCAAGCCCTGAAGACAGGCAGCTCCCGGTTTTACGCTCTACCTCCATGTCAGTTTGCCTCTGTGGATGCCAGGGTTTTTACAAGTGAAAGTTAAATTCCTTTGTCTCATTCCCTAAGCTTTGTCTAGATGTTACACTTTTTTTTTTTCTTTTTCCTTCTTTATCATTATGCTCAATGACTAAATTGGTTTGTTTTTCATGTCTAAGAAAACCACACAAACCATGTAGGAAAAGCTTTCAAAGGACATCTTTGTTTAATGACTCCATCTGCTGGACAGTGTCATTACTGCTCTTAAAAAATATTATTAATACTTTCTCATTCACAGATGATAGTTATACGTATTAACTTTTTTAAAAAAAATTACCAAGCACAACATGTGCATAGGCTACACAAGTCTCTAGAGGCACAATATTTAAGAAACATTCAGTGCTCGCTTTGGCAGCATGTATACTAAAATTGGAACGATACTGAGATTAGTATGGCCCCTGCAAAAGGATGGCATGCAAACTCGTGAAGCATTTCATATTTTCTTTTTTTCATTTTTTTTTTTGGAGAGGTTTCGCTATAAGGTGCGTGTGCTCCCCAGAAAGACAAAGAGCGATAGAGAGACAGAAAGAGAGAGGACACCCGCCCCCTCGCGGGGGGATGGCCACACGGCAATCCCTTCTCCTCCATTCTCCTCTGGGATCCTGGGCATGCACGCACACTGGCCTGGCATGAGTTTAAACCACCAGGTCCGGGACTTGAACTGCGGTCGACTACATGGGAGTTCAGTGACAGAGCCATTACGCTAACTGCTGGTCCCGTGTTTTATATTTTCAAACAACAAGGTCCTGGAATTTGATAGAAAGTGGATGAATGTGGAATATTTGTTGCTGAGTGAAGCAAGTCAGGCTATGAAAGAGAGACATTGCATGTCTCCACTTAACATATACCGACTGTTTGCATTCTATGGTAAAGGCTGAAAGAATGAAGAACATAAAAGTATTAAAAATTGTAATGGACACTAGAGACAAAGTGCAGAGAGTGTGAGAGGGGAAAAGCGTAGGAAATTTTGGGAAAATGGGGAGGTAAGACACTTGTGGGACACAGATAAGGTCTATTATCTGTTAATGAGGATGTGTATAGTATTCTCAGCTAGGCTAGACTGAGGTGTATATCATGTTGGGTAAAGTCTCTTCACAATCTAAATGATGTATAGTGATTTAATGTATGAATAATAATAATAAATATACAAATAAATTTTTAATAAAAGAAAAAACATTCAGGGAATTTGACCCAGGAATGAAACTTTTAGCTGCATTGTGAGGGTGTCTGGAGGGAGAACTTTCTGGCCCTCTGAGTTTTTCCTTTCTCTGGTATGCTGCAATTGCTACTCTTGCCCCTCAAGAAGAAATTTCATTCTCTGGCATGTTTCTTTAGAGCCAATGGCCAATGGATATAGTCTAGCAATTTATTTGCACACAAGGCCCTGTGTTAGAGCTTCTCCGTTGTTTGAGGCTACCTGTTTTTACTTAGCTAGAGGAATGTAGCTGTCCTTATGTAAAAAGAAGACCCTGTAGCTCAGACTGCAGCTTTGGATTTGAAGAGAGAGAGTATGGGTCTTTTTTCCTGTGCTTGCATTTTTTTCTGTCTACACCGGATTTTCCTAAAATGCCATTAAGAGGTCTCTAACATTTTAGGCTGTTCCAGCTGCCCTGGCAGCAGTGGTAGAGTCTTCTGACTATTATGAGGTCTCTAACATTTAAGGCTGTTCCAGTTGCCCTGGCAGCAGTGGTAGAGTCTTCTGACCTTTTCTTCTAGACACTAATGACTCCCAAGACTTACAGGATCCTGAGAAGCGGGGAGATCTGACTATCTTAAAAAGAATACAGCATAAATGGAGAAAAGCTGGAAGTTTTCTCACTAATAAGTGGAACAAGACATGGTTGCCCCCTTTCTCCATTCCTTTTCAACACAGTACTGGAAGTCTAAAACAATGCAATTAAACAAGAGAAAAAAATTAAAGGCATTTGAATAAGAAAAGAAGGTGAATTGTCCCTATTTACAGAGGACATTATTATATACATAGAAAATTCAAAATAATTTATTTAAAAAAAACTCTTATAAGTGATAAATTCAGTAAAGTGGCAGGACACAAAATCAATGTCCAAAAACTTGTATCATTCTCATACACCAACAATTCAGACTCAAGAAAAGCAATCCCATTTCAATAGCCACACACACACAAATGAATGAATAAACCTAACCAAAGAGGTGAATGATGAATGACCTCTATAAGGAAAAATATAAAAACTGAAAAAAGAAATTCAGTGTGATACAAAATAATGGAAAGACATCCCATGCTCTTGGATTGGAAGAATTAATCAAAATGTCAGTTCTGCCCAAATTAATTTATAAATTCAGTGTATTATTCTGATCAAATACCAGTCACAATCTTCTCACACACACACACACAAATCATAAAGCTTATCTGGAATTATAAAAGGCTCCAAATCACCAACACAAATCAATGCAAAAAGAGCAAAGGAAATACAGAATGGCTACCGGAAGAAGGGATAGACTGACCTGTGAGCAGGTGACCTGTTGCAGAAAAAGGGACTGTCGTTGTTACAAGGATTTCTTCCTTATTTTGCTCTAAATATGTTTGAATATATGTATATACACACTCTCACTTCAAAAAGTGCCTGGAAAATGCATACTTAGGAGAAGCTTTTTGCACTGGAACCAGCAGGTGGCATAATGGCTATGTTGCTGGACTCCCACATGGCTGGCCACATTTCAGGTCCCAGATCCGGAGGCTTGAAACTCACATCAGACACGTGTGTGTATGTGCCCAAAATCCCAAAAGAAGAATGGAGGAGAGGGGATTGCCGCATGGCACTAGCTCACTCTAGCTCTCTGTCCCTCTAGCTCTCTCTGTCTCTCTGGCAAGCACATGTGCCCTATAGCAAAAATCTCTCTAAAAAATAATAACTTTTTGCTCTAAAATAACTCATATTTTAATTCTATTTTTCCATGGACCTTTTGATGTTCCCTCACAGGTGTGTATATGTGTATACGCATATAAAAATATAGGACTTCTCTGTACTTTCTCTGTCACAGCAATTCAGAAGGAAATGTTGGAAGAGATGCTGGCTGTGTATGATTTCTTATGCTACTGTAGTACACTGGCAGTGTGTGCTTGTTCGTATGGCTGACTGCCCCGGGGGGTTTTTTTGTTTGTTTGTTTGTTTTTGAGAAATTTTTTTGCTATAGGGCACGTGCGCTCGCCAGAGACAGAGAGAGACAGAGAGACAGAAAGTGAGAAATCACCCCCCAGGGGGGATGGCCATGCCGCAATCCCTTCTCCTCCATTCTCCTCTCGGGATCTTGGGCACGCACGCACACGCGTCCAGCGTGAGGTTTAAGCTACCGGGTGCAGGATGTGAACCGCAGTTGACTACATGGGAGTCCAGCACATAGCCATTGCGCTAACTGCTGGTCCCTGCCCTGGCATTTTTACTGTGCCAGATAACAAAGCTTGGAACATTGGAGCCAAGCAAGGCTGTTATCCTGTCCTTAAACACTGGCATTGACTTGGCATCCTTATGAAACATAGTCTTTTGGGGCATCTGTTTCCAGAATAGGGAGGTTTCGTCCATATTGACGATTTGCTCTGACACAGTTTCCTTCCAAAATTAGTTTATCTAGCGTTTCCAGAAAGTCTTCAATTGCCTTCACTTCTGTACCTGCAGAGCCCCCACTCACTTTCACATTTTGCAACAAATAATGACTCTTCCATTGTAAGCTCAACACTGTAGTCAGATCCAGCCTGTTCTTTCAACATCTCAAGTACACATTCTATTTTAGTCAAGATCAGCATGGTATTGGAGGTGACATGCTTCTGTGTTTGGTCTGCAATCCGGGTTTGTAGAAGTTTCTCCGTATCTGATACAGGCCCTTCTTCAATTTTGGTACTCGTTGCTTACAATGAAATAAAAACCTTGAATAGTTTCCATCACTTTGCTCTTGTTCTTCAATATTGCTGCTCAGATGGAACAGGACATGCCTGACTAGTGGGTAACTGCCATCGCTTCTGTCGCTGGTTTTCTGCCTTTCTAGTTTTTAATCACTTTTAGTTTTATTTCCAGGTCAGTCATTCAATAAAGCCTCTAACTGGCCACATTAGCGGTGGTTTTTGTATGCTAGGGGCCATGATGAAGAAAACAACAGAAGATTAAATCAAGTCCAGGGAAAATGATCCCATTGAGATGTGAGCACGAAGTATATGAAGCTGCTACTGGCATAACAGGGCATGCTGGTCTACAGTAGATATTTTTTTAAATAAGTAAGAGAATACTTTAAAATAACAGAAAACATAGTCTAGTGAATACATAAAAGAGCATTGTTGTCATTTACTGTCAAGTGTTATGTACTGTACATAATAATATATCCTACACTTTCATATCACTGGGAGTGCAATAGGCTTCTTTGCACCAGCATCACAAACGTGAGCAAGGTATTGTGTTGCAATATTTTGATGGCTAAACATCACTAGTATAACAATGGGAGTGCAATAGGCTTGTTTGCACCAGCATCACAAACGTGGTAAGGCACTGAGTTGCAATATTTTGATGGCTAAACATCACTAGGGGTTAGGAAATTTTCAGCTCCATTTTGGTCTTATGGGACCACCATATGCTGTTCATTGTTGACTGAGATGTTATATGGCACGTGCTACATTTAAGGTCTAGTTTTATCAAGGAGAAGAGTGAGAATTACTCACTTTGCATCCCTTTCTGGGGAAGGATACAGCATATTTTCAATTATATGTGAGATAGTTCTTCATGGTTGGTACATGTATGCCTTCATCGTCTTTATTTGGCGTTTAAGTATGGTTTAAGGTATATGAACAAGGTATACCCATTATGAAGAAGTACCAAGTTAACAAGTGTGGACTGCAATGGTCAGTTGTATATGTGGATTTGGCCCAAAACTGTACTCAGTTAACCTGAGTACTTAGTGTTGCTATGAAGGTATTTTGTGACTGTGGTTAACGTATAATTAGTGGACTTTAAGGAAAGGTGATTATCCTTGATAGTCTGACTGAGGCTGATCCAATAAGTTGAAAGACCCAAAGACAGAACTAAGGTTTTTCTTGTTTGTTTTGTTTTGTTTTTTTGAGAGGTTTTCGCTATAGGGTGCGTGCGCTCACCAGAGAGACAGAGAGAGCTATAGAGACAGAAAGCGAGAAATCACCCCCCAGATGGGATGGTCACTCCGCAATCCCTTCTCCTCCATTCTCCTCTTGGGATCTTGGGCAAGCACGCACATGCGCCCGGCGTGAGTTTTAAGCCACCGGGTCCGGGACACGAACCGCGGTTGACTACATGGGAGTCCAGTGACATAGCCATTTCACTAACTGCTGGTTCCCCAGAACTAAGGTTTTTTTGAGAAAGGAGAAATTCCACCTGTGGACTGAAGCATCTACTCCTGCAACAGTTTCCAGCTTCTCCTTCCCAAGGCCCAGTCTGTGGATTTGGAATTTGCTTAGCCAGTACCCAGAGCTGTGTCAAGCAATTCTTTGCTCTCTCTCCCTTTCTCTCTATCTTTCTCTCAACATTCTCTGGCTTTAAGCTTTCTACTCTGACATTTGCTTTCTCAGAGGACACTCTGGAGGTCCAGTTACCACCTCACACCCACAGCCTAGCCTCTCTGGCTCTGGCCTTCACATCACAGTGTTGTCCCAAGCACTCTGTGGAGCTCCTTCTTTCCTCACTGGTTCCTAACTCAGCTCTGATTCTCCCTCACTCTCTCCCTTTTTCCTATTCTCCTTTTCTAACTGGGTTCTGCTCCCTCAGCACTCCTTCTACTTACATCACTGGCCTCCTCTCTGCCACCAGAGGCCGCTCTCACTTTAGCTTATACATTTTCACTGACATTTCTTCCTGACCACAAGTGGCTTTGTATCTTCTGCCTTCAAAGACTTCCTGACCACTGGGTTCTGCTCATTCTTCAAGTGCTTTTTGTTCACTATCATGGTTGATTTTCTCATCTTTGCAAGCAGGGTCCTCTTTGCCACTAATCCCATCTATTCTCATCTTCCCTGTCTTACTCTCATCTCACTGAGCCCTTTCTGTGACTAGATGACTAGGTTATTACTGACTGTCTTCTGGCTTTTCCCAGGAGTACAGACTGATGCAGAGTCCTATTCTGTACCTGGGTCTCACTCATGTTGTCTCTGGAGTCCCTCTTCTACCTGAGACCTTCTCTCATGTTATTATCTAACAAAATTTGGTTGTCTCCATTGATCTGATTGATTCATTTGCTTTTCATCTCTACTCCATAATCCTTAGACTTCACTTTTTCTCTAACTAAAGCTAACTTTGACTCAAAAAGAACATGAGAGTTTACCTCCAAATAATGGGTAGGTTGTTCTCAAATTTTATACTAACCTTCAAAACTAATCATTTCAACCATCTACCAGTGGCTGATACCTTACAATAACTTATTTTATTTTCTTGTTCAAACTGCGACATTAAGCAAGAACTTCGTTCTCTTCATACACTAGATGATGGAAAAGAGAAACATCTGAGATATTTAGAAAAATAAAAGATAACATTTGGTGATGTGATAGGGAGGGTGGGGAGCATCCTAGAGTTGAGAGAGAGAAGGTGAGAGAAGATGACAACTGGTTTAAATAGGACTTAATTTTCTTGCATGGTATGTCATTTTTGAGCTATGGTATAGGATTACCTTTGTGAGAAAAGTTAGTGAATTATTTACGTACATTGAGACTGAAGTGCTTTTGAGATTTTAGATTTTGTATGTTAGAGACAGCATGGTATATGGATCTATCTGATGCAGGGAAAGATCTGGATGAGAGATAGTAATTCGGAAGGATTGCTTTGTAGATGATAACTGTAAGAGAGAACTAAAGACATTAGCTAATTATTGTGGAGGGAATATAAAGAAGATTGAAGTTAAAAAAACTCAGGCAAAAGTATAGGCAGGGACTATGATGATTGAATAACTGCTCGATAATTCAGATGAAAAAATATTTTTCATGCTTTTTCATTTTATTAACATATTTTTCTCTATCACTCTTTTTCTCTGAGAAGAACTACACCCACAAAAATCATAAGTGAACACACACACACACATACACACGGTCCTCTAGAACACATACAACACTTGGGACTGGGCTGTGAGTTGAGTCCAAATTTTATGAGGTTTCAGTTACAAAAATGAAAACGGACTTGCTGCAGAGTGGATTACTGTTGACAAATCCATCGGAAATTATAATCACAATTTTGTTCAGCAATAATATTACCAGACAAATGGGCACATTTTGTGCTTCGGGTCCATCGACTGTATTTTTTTATTGTAAGCCTACAGCAAGAAAACAAACAAACAAAAAGGTTATATTTATGTCACTCATAAAAATATATGTATGTTCAGAGAGGTGGATCAGAAAATATTTTCTATTTATTTATTTATTTTTCTATTTTGCCAGAGGGCACATGTGCTTGCCAGTGAGAGAGAAAAAGCAGAAGAAGTGAGAAAAAGCACCTCCTAGAGGGGGAAGCAGTCTAACTTCTTAATGAAAATATGATCATCGAAAGAATTTAAGCAATATACAACAACATAATAAATAAAAAAATTCTTCCCACTCTGGGTCTTACTTCTCAAAATGTTTCTCCAGAATAATTGACAGTCAAGCAGTGTTAGGGATATGTAGATAATGCTAAAATATAACCTCTATTTTTTGAAATCTGGGAGGAATTGATTACAATTAGAAATGAATGGAAACTCATATTTTGTGAATTCAACTTCTGTTCTATAAGAAATTTTATACCTACCAATTTACCTCTTAGATAAAATGATAATATAGATAGTAGTTAGTGGTAAATCCTATTTTACACATAAATCTTCTGAGTGGACAGAGTAAGATCTCTTTGCTTTTCAACTTCCTGTGTGAATCATTTATATGAATTATTTAACAGATTGTAAGAGTCTGTTAGGAAATTTATGCCTATTTACTTAGTTCAAGCCCAGCAATATTGGGCAACTCGTTCTTGTGATGTGATAAAAGGTTAAATCTCAAAAAATCTACCATATAAAGTCTGGTGGTTCAGGAAGCAGAATCCTCCATGGTTAATCACTTGATTCAAATTCCAGACTCCCAGAGGCTTGACTAACATGCCAGATGAGTGTGTGTGTGTGTGTGAGCACGCACGAGTGCACCTAAATCCCAACAGGATGGAGAGGAAGAGATTGTGGTGTGACCATGGCCCACTGGGAGTGCTTTCTTCTTCCCCTCCTGTCTCTTTTTGGTGAGTGCACATCCCCCAATTAATTAAAACAAAACAACTACACATAAACTCACAGGTGGGAGTCAAAGGAGCTGTTGTCCACCCAGATCCAAGAATTCCCTTCAGACGGGAAAGTCAAGCCAATCCAATAACGAGCATGAGAGTTGAGGTGCAGCCATAAGAAACTCTAAAGAAAATATTGAATGCTGAAGGAGAAAATGGCTAATTCCCAACACCAGAAAAACGTCTCAAGAGCATCTTCTATGTGCTTGCCACTGCGCTAAAAGCTAGAAATGAACAGTTGAGTAAGATACACCTCATGCTTTCCAATAGCTCGCAGTGGCTGGACAGACAAGTAAATAAACCACTACGATATGATGTGATGATAGCTAGAGACAGATGAGGACCGACGGGAGTACCCACCAAGGCTGTGAAGTCAGAGCAAGTAATGATTGTGTGCTCTTGTTAAATCTGACTTCAGTTTTTCAGTCCTTAAATCTCAGGTAAGAACAGTACCTATCTCAAAATGATATTATCATTTTGCTGTTAAATGCTATTATTATTAAATACTGCCTGTCACATAATAAATACTCAAAAAGGTTAGTCATTACTATTAAATGCAATTGATAGTCTCCCAATTTGATATTTGGTGTTACACTGGTTACACTGAAGATGAGTTACATCTTTTTTCTGTTTCTCTTGTTGCTATTTCTGTGAGTCTCAGAAGTTTTTATTTCCCCCTCAAAAGTCCCAACAACTAGCCTTTTGTAACTCTCCCAGATCTTCAATTAGAATTGTGAAGCACCGTTACTGGGTTTGCAAAAACTAGGCCACTGACATAGTTTGTGATTCTAATACAGCAAGTCTCATACTGCAAACTCTTATTTCCTGTTTGCCAATGAACATGTAAATTGGCTTTATTGATTAGCAGCTTCATTTAGCATAACTTCAGTTTAATTTAAAACCGGAATTATCTAAATATTAGTTCTCCCCCAGAGAGAAATAAATCTAAGTAAGAACTTCTCTGTGTTTCCTTTTCCACACTTTCATCCTTAACTTCGCCTGCCAGGATAATGTCTGCAGCCTTCACACCTTTGCCATAAAAGGAGAGATGCAACAAAAGCTTTAAACTCTTTTCTAATCCTTGACATGGAATCTGGTAAGCAGGGGTCCCTCGTGAAGAACGTAGGTCCATCACACCAAAGGGATTCCTCCTCCCTCTCGTCAAAATTAAGTGCAAAATAATAACTGAATCAATAGTTATTGAAAGGATAGCACATGAAGTTAAAAATCTTTTCCACAGACATTTACTTACTAAGTCTAGAGCACAGGAAATCCCATTGTTAACGGGGTGAATGTTTATTTCTAAATGTTAAATCTCACCATATCGATGAAGTCTTGAATGATCATGAGGTTTGAATTCTTCATAGCACAATCACGCTGACTTTTAGTCCAAGATTGCATGGATTCAGAAATCCAGTAACATTTCCCCCCAAACAGTTTCCAGTCTCCAGAGGGGCATGACTTATGGGTAGTAGAAGAGTTCCAAGAAACTGGAAGAGAAAAGACAAATCATTAAAAGAAATGTGGACCAGTATTTTAATAATGCATCCCGATTAAAGGCTCTCCAAAATGTTTAAGAAGATAGTAAGCTTTTAAATTCTTTGCCAGAATATTTAGATGTTGATGCAGACGTATTCTAAATGTATCAATAACTTAGTGTTCCCATAAATATTCTCTCTCTCTCACACACACACACATGACCTGAAGCCATTGACGAATAAACAAACGTAGGCCAATTCTAGAGAAAAAGTGACACATCAAAGAAGGTATGGCAAGGCAAAAGTTTTACAGTTTTGCAGCTGTTCGCCTTAGGTCAGTGTTAATGCTACGGGGAGTGAGTAAACCTTTATTAGAAAACCTGTCGTCTTTCTAACCTCAATAACCAGAGAACCACTTGGGGCAAACACAGATGCTAAAAATGAAGAAAGAATGCTATAAAAGAGAAAATGTAAAAGGCATGCCTTAACATCTATGTTTTCCTTCAAATTTTTGGTTGATTTATGTGCAAGCTAAATTACAGCTAAGAAGAATACTGAACTGGGATTTGAATTGCTGCCTAAAGGAGAAATATTTAAATTGAAATTCATTTATACTAAGTGCTTGCAAACAAAGGAAAATCAACACTGCTTACTTTGGAGAAATATATGAGAAAACAAACACTCCTCAGTGTATCAGGTTGTCTGGAAAGTCGTGACATATTTTTCTATGTGAAAATGCATCGTGACTTTCCTGAAAACTTAGTAATATTGACAATGTCTAGCATATAATCTCAAGTTACTTGACCTTTGAAAAAACAGAAACATTTGACCCATTTTAAATAAAGAAATCAATTTAATCCAGCATAAAGAGGACAAAAATGTTAGAATATCAGGCAATTTTTTTTAGAGGTTTCTGCCTTAGGGCATGTGTGCTCACCAGAGAGAGAGAAAGAGAGAGAGAGAGAGAGAGAGACAGGGACAGTGAGAAAGAAAGTGAGAAATCACCTCTCAAGGGGGTGACCACGCCACAATCCCTTCTTCTCTAGTATCCTCCCAGGACTTTGGTTAAACATGCACACACACCCAGAGTGATTTTGAAGCCACTGTGTCTGAGACTGGAACTGCGGTCAGCCGTGCGGGAATCCAGAGACATAACTGCTATGCTACCTGCTGACCAATCAGGCAAGTATTTTAAGACAGTTGTTACAACTATGCTCAAGTATGTGAGAGAAAATATACTTGCAATCAGTAAAAAGAAAGGCTATCTCCGTTAAGAAACAACGTATAAAAGGAACCAAATAAAATTTAGAATTGAAAAATAGAGATCAGAATCTTTTTTTTTTTTTGGAGAGGTTTTCTCTATTGGGCGGCGTGAGTTTTAAGCCACCGGGTCCAGGACGCGAACCGCGGTCAACTACATGGGAGTCCAGCGACATAGCCATTACGCTAACTGCTGGTTCCCGAGATCAGAATCTTTTTAAAAAATAATTTTATTTTATTTTATTTTATTTTATTTTATTTTATTTATTCACTTATTTTAACTTTTCAAGAGAGAGTGAGAGAGTGAGACAGAGGAAGTGAGTAAGCAAACCACCAGGTCTGGCATTCGAACCATGGTCAGCCATGTGGGAATGTCCAGCACCTTAACCACCACACCACCTGCTGGTCCCGAGAACAATATCTTATATAGAAATAGAACTCAGTTGAATTAGCTCACAGTAGATAATTAGCAGAAAAAGCAGTTAATCAACACAAAATTGTCCAAAATAAAGAACAGAAAAAATTGTTGGAAAATGTACAAGTGTCAAGGACGTGTATGAAATGAGTCATATTTTGATGCATAAAACTGAACCTAGAACCAGAGGAGAAAAAACTAGGACAAGGAAACCTAGAGAGATAATGACTAAAATTTCTCACATTTTTGCATTTATAAATGTATATATTAAAGGTCCCAGTCTCCATGGTCTAGGTTGTAGGACATACTTCCACAATACTGGGGCCACATGGGAAGTCCCAAAGTTTGAATCCCAGGTTGACTTGAACATGAAGGCGTATGCGAGGGCATTCTCATGGCCTGGCTGGCTGGGAGGCCAGAGGGAGAATCACTGTGTGGGAAGACTGTGTTGGGCATCCCTGTCTCTGTCTCTTTCTCTCATCGAGTAAAGAAATAAAAATACACTTAAGAAATGTACTCTCAAGATGCTCAGCAATCTCTAAGAATAGTAAGTATGAAGAAAATTATATGCTGGAATAGTCAAGCTACTTTGGATTACTAAAACCAAAGATAGAGAAAAATCTTGAAAGCAGTTAGGGAAAAATTACACATTACCAACAGGGAAATACTTATTCAAAAGCCTCTCATTCTCATCGACTCTGGAGGCCAGAATGTAGTGAAAAAGTAACAGTGAATAAAGCATTCAATATTGCAGAGAAAACATTCTTCCAAAATCATGTCATATTTAAGTCATCTTTGGATGAAATAAAACTAAAAGAATCCTCTGACAGTAGTGGTTACTCTAGCAAATATTAAAGGAAGTTCTTCGGACTGAAGGGAAATGTTTACAAGTAAAAATTTCAGAAGTCAGGGAAAACCTAAAAAATGACAAGCATCTAAGTAAATATAAAAGCATAAAGTATGGTGGGACCAGCAGTTAGCGTAATGGCTATGTCGCTGGACTCCCATGTAGTTGACTGCGGTTCGCGTCCCGGACCCGGTGGCTTAAAACTCACGCCAGGCGCGTGTGCGTGCGTGCCCAAGATCCCGAGAGGAGAATGAAGGAGAAGGGATTGTGGCATGGCCATCCCTTCTGGGGGGTGATTTCTTGCTTTCTGTCTCTCTGTCTCTCTCTGTCTGTCTGGTGAGGGCACGCTCCCTATAGCAAAAACTTCTCCAATAAATAAATAAATAAAAGCATAAGGTATGTAACATGTCTTCAAATAATATTTTGGAAGACCTTTAAGATGACAAACTGGAGATATTCAGTACAACTCCTCTCTATTGAGAAAGACCAAGGAAAAAAAAATACCCTGATAAATAACCATACATTGAAGAGAGGAACAGGAGGGAAGCCTAGAATAGAGGAAGGGAGTACAGAGGAACTTCTGAAGCTCAGAGACTCAGGAGGAGGCATAGAGAACATGAAGGTCAGGCCAGAGGGATCTAGAGCTGAAGGTGCTTCTGCCTGCAGGGAAGTGTTGAGAAAATATTCCAGCACTCCCTATCCGTACCCTGAACACCTGCAGTTCTGGCTACAGCAAAGCCTTGAAGTCATTACTGATACTGATCTTGAAACCAGTGTAGAAGGGTCCTCTAGAGTCCTTGAAGGACACTAATCTAGAAAAGATAAATACTTGGGAATCCCCCCAGCCCCACCTCAGGGATCCAAGTACTGACTGGACAGCACCATTCTGGGGGGTGGAGCCACAGCTAAAGCAAATCCTGATCTGAGGATTAGCACACCCTGTACCTCCACATCCCCACATTCTGGCTGTTGCTCCACTTGCCCACAAAAAGCATGGCAGAGCCAGGCCAACAGCTGAACCCAGTGACCAGCAGTCAGCCAGGCACCTGAGTCCTTGCAGAGCCCTGGACTCCTGGAACAAGGAGTCCACTATCCTGAGTCTGAGGACTTGAACACTTACTCCTCCAGAGTGCCTTATTATAGCAGACACTGAAGCTTCTGAGCAACCCTTCCCACAAAGACTGAGGACTCCATGTAATTGCCTTTCCGAGACTGAAGAATCCAGGACAACCTGTTCCCCACAAGAGATCAGATTGTGGACACTCCCCTCCCACGTGGCTGACACGGCTTCTGCAGGCTGAGGAAATGCCCACAGCTAGTAAATCTGGTGGCCTTGCACCTGCAGGACTCCTGTGATCCTGCCATGAACCCAGAACAGCTTCTGCACCCTCATAGACCACACCCAGGCCTTAGAACGCCATCTGTTTGCAGCCGCTATGCCGTGCAGCTATCTCAACTAAGGCGGACTCCAAACACCCTCCTTAGGTCCTGAGAGTATCAGCTGAGTCCTACGCACCTTCTGTCAGTGTTGCCACAGGCGGCCTTACACCCTTTACTGCTGGGTCCCCTATGTGCCATGCTTGTCACACACAAAGTTTGAAAACACTGACTTGGGCACCTCTGCTGCCACCATGTTGATTGTCCCCTGATTCAGTAGAACTCTGTGCTCTGTACGCCTCATTCAGGGCCTGACGTCACCAGCATGGGCACCACTTCATCTGCTGCCAGCACTGCAGCAGCCCCTACCCCCAACAAAGTCAAGAATGCTGTGTGGACAAACACGTGGTCTTGGCCATAGAGGCACTCACAAATACCGCTGACATAGATACCAGCTAAAGAAAACAGAGAGCCTGCACTACTAGATCCAACCAGAGCCTAAGTTAATGCACACTATCCAAATGAATTTGATACATCTATGTAAAGCACAAAACAGTTCTTTCCTATAAAAGCTGCTCATTAAAACTGGGAAAGGAGATTATTTCAACAGAAGCTCAGACAATGCAAGGATATACTTCAAAATATGAGAAAACAAGGAAGCATCACTTCTCCAAAGGAGGAAAATAATTCTCCAGTAACAGGCTCCAAAAAAATTTAAAAAAAGAAAGAAAAAAGAAATTTAAAAAATGCTGAATAAGGAATTCAGAGTATTAACTTTAAGAAAACTCAATGAGATGGAAGATAATTCAGATAAAGAATACTGCTTACATAGTAAGAAATAAAAAAAAAATTGCTAAAGGGAGGCACTGATCTGAAACCAGAATAAGGTACAATTGAGCAAATGAGTTCCAAAGGCAGAATTGCCCTCAAGGTTAATGATTAACATCAGAGCTGGGATTCTAAGACACCCTGAACTCTCTCAACTCTCTCAAAAGTGATGGAGTGACTCTGTGAAACTCTTTCATTGGTCTATAGTCTTCAAAAGAACCTCAAGTCATGCAAGTCCTTAGCTCTCCACTGCCTCCTTGTAGTCAGAAAAGCAAACTTTGGAAATAAGCATCTTTAATTTAAAAAAATCCCGTTAACTATGATCAACCAAATTTAAACAACCACAACAACAAAACCATCACACACGTCAGGAAACAAGCCAACATAGTATCAGGAAATGTTACGAGCAGATTAAGGACTTTAGGTAGTTAAATCATCATATGTATTACAAATAATAAGAGCCTGCACTACTAGATCCAACCAGAGCCTAAGTTAATGCACACTATCCAAATGAATTTGATACATCTATGTAAAGCACAAAACAGTTCTTTCCTATAAAAGCTGCTCATTAAAACTGGGAAAGGAGATTATTTCAACAGAAGCTCAGACAATGCAAGGATATACTTCAAAATATGAGAAAACAAGGAAGCATCACTTCTCCAAAGGAGGAAAATAATTCTCCAGTAACAGGCTCCAAAAAAATTTAAAAAAAGAAAGAAAAAAGAAATTTAAAAAATGCTGAATAAGGAATTCAGAGTATTAACTTTAAGAAAACTCAATGAGATGGAAGATAATTCAGATAAAGAATACTGCTTACATAGTAAGAAATAAAAAAAAAAAATTGCTAAAGGGAGGCACTGATCTGAAACCAGAATAAGGTACAATTGAGCAAATGAGTTCCAAAGGCAGAATTGCCCTCAAGGTTAATGATTAACATCAGAGCTGGGATTCTAAGACACCCTGAACTCTCTCAACTCTCTCAAAAGTGATGGAGTGACTCTGTGAAACTCTTTCATTGGTCTATAGTCTTCAAAAGAACCTCAAGTCATGCAAGTCCTTAGCTCTCCACTGCCTCCTTGTAGTCAGAAAAGCAAACTTTGGAAATAAGCATCTTTAATTTAAAAAAATCCCGTTAACTATGATCAACCAAATTTAAACAACCACAACAACAAAACCATCACACACGTCAGGAAACAAGCCAACATAGTATCAGGAAATGTTACGAGCAGATTAAGGACTTTAGGTAGTTAAATCATCATATGTATTACAAATAATAGTGTCTAAATTATTTTAAGGTATAAAAGAAGAAATAAAAATGATTGAGAAACAACAGCCTACCAAAAGTAAGGAGAGATTTGCAAAGAAGTCCTTTAGATTTGCAAAGAAGTCCTTTAAAATTATAATCATTGAAATTACAAACTCTATTAATGAGTTAGCAGATACAGGAAAAGAGATAACTTGTCAATTGGAAGACGTATCTGAAAAAATATTGTCAAGGATTCAGTCCATTTTGACAAAAATAAGGACAAAATGAGAGGTGAAGTAAAATGGAAGGCAGAAATCATGGGATAATGCACACTTAATATGAGTCTCAGAAAAAAATGAAGAGGGACCAGCAGTTAGCGTAATGACTATGTCGCTGGACTCCCATGTAGTCGACCACGGTTCAAGTCCTGGACTCGGTGGCTTAAACTCACGCCAGGCACGTGTGCATGCGTGCCCAAGATCCCGAGAGAAGAATGCAGGAGAAGGGATTGTGGCGTGACCATCCCCCCTGGGGGGTGATTTCTCGCTTTATGTCTCTCTGTCTCTCTCTGTCTGTCTGGCAAGTGCACGCGCCCTATAGCAAAAACCTCTCCAAAAAATAAATTAATTAATTAATTAAAAAAAAAAGAAAAAAATGAAGAGAAAGTAGAGAAAGAATTTGGAAGCATGGCTAAGTAGATCTATTATGCTTTACATATTTTGTCAATTCAATGATTTTATTAAGCTCAAACTCACTTAGATTTGCTATAACTTTCCTAATGAATTGAAACTAATACTCTAGGAGAGGTGATTTATATATCCGTTCACTAGAATGAAGATTAGAACACAAGTGTGTCAGAACTTAGAGCTTTACACGTCACCAGCCTACAACACACCTTTGCTTTGGGGATAATGTCCCACAGAATTTGTCCTCTGAATACCACTGGATTAAATAAAATTAGTAACCTATGTTATATAAACTATTTTTTAGATTGTGATTGAGGAGGCTTGGATATATCAAAATCCAAACTATATGTCTTAATGAATTCCCAGGATTCGAATGTGCTCTATAATATGGACGTGGTGTATCTTTCTAATATAATTATACTTGGATGTTCAAAAGAAGAAAGGCATCCAGTTTTTTGATATAGTATTAAAATTTACATGAACTGATTAGAAACAAATGATCAAAGAAAACAGAAAGGCCATCTAATTGAGTATTATCTCAACTTTCAAAAGTGTCCAAATATACTCTAAGAAAGCAAGAGAAAGACTAACATAAAATTTACTGTTAATGTTTCCTCCATGTAGTAACATGAAAACATTGACAAAAAGACTACCTGCAGTGTCTACGAATCTTAAGGCGGACGATGCATCACATTTTGCACCTGTGCATGATCCCATAGGAGGGAAAATATAGGACTAAAGTACCATTATTTCATAAAATACATTTAAATTCATTTAAAACTCATTTTATGAGCTCACGTTTTTTTCTCATAATACCACAGACCTTTGAATATTTTTTTTGTAGACTGTAATGAGTCTATGAAAAACAGTCCTGTACCATTCCTCTGTAGGGGTAGAGGTGTTTTTCTCCTCTATTGAGATGTTCTGAAGGAGGACCGGCTATTCAGAATTAGACCATGCAAAATCATTTTACCTATTGAGGTGTTTGTTCCAGATTTAAGTCCTTCAGTACAGGGTCTGTCTTTTGGTTCATCGTCCACTTTGGTATGTCTTGCAGAGTTGAATTGGATAACTAACAAAAGAATGAACATATTTTCCCAATTAAACACAAAGTACAAGACTATTGGGTCCTAGTGACCCTGTGAATTTCAATCATCTGTAGAGTTCATAAGACATTAAAGGATTAAAAATGTAAAAAAGAAAATTATTTTCCCCAAGATTTGGAGTGTTCTTTGCACTCATTAATCTTAGCAATAGTAACTTTACAAAAATTAGAAAAATGTCACTTAGAATCATAGGGAAATTTGATTTTGTTTCTTGAAGTACTTGTATTTAAATATGCACAGTACATTCAGCTATGGCTGTAAGCCTCATTTGGTTGGTTTGTATCTAGTAAGTTCCTATTCATTTGATCACATGCCACCTCCTTACAAAAAGAGTTTAGTGTGTTTTGGTTTGGGTTCATGATTTTGTCCTTTGTCAGGTTCTGCATATAGATGCTGCATATAAAAGGATAGAGTTAATCCAGAGTAGATTTACTGTAATGAAGGATTTGTTTTTCTGATGGTCATTTAACTGAAACTATTTTTGCCAATTCATAATCTTGCAGTAGTGTTATTGAGCAATTTGTATTGACCTCGTAAACATACGGAAAGTAATAAAATGTATTTATATAATAGTATTTGCTATTTAATAGGTGTCATACAGTAGGCATTAACAGTGATATCATATTTATAGCACATTTAGTTCATTACACATGCTATATATAATTTACAATGTTTGTGTTGCTATATAACACTTCTAATCATGTACACTTTTACAATATATGTCAATACATTGGACGCAGAGTAAGAATTCTGCTAGTGGTGCAGCTGGGATTTGAAAATGGGTGCTCTGGCTCTAGGACATTCACTTGCATCATTGCCTTGTAGATGAACATTTTAAAAATACATCTTATCTTTAAAATTTATTTTAGCAACAAATGAAGTTTGGTTAAAAATAAAAATCTCTCTGTAACTTAGCAGAAATAATTATGGCAGAGGGCCAGCCTAGTGGTCAGAGTCAGATCCCACATGGCCAACTACAGCTTGAATTCCTGGCCCAAGAAGCTTAAAAAGCACACCAGATTGATGTGCATGCATGCCCCAAATGCTGACAGGATGATGAAATGAAAGAAAAGGGACCAAAGTGACCACACTTCATTGAGGTGAGGTGCTTTCTCCTTCCCTCCGTACTCTGGAGAGTACATGTGCTCCCTGGCAATTAAAAAATACTAATTACAGCAGAGATTTTAACTGCTAATTATTTTTTCTTGCCCATCCACCTCCTTATTTTCTAACCCTAATTAGACCATAGGCTAGTTATTTTAAACTACTCATATTTGTCTCTCTGGGCTACTCATTTAAAAACTAGACCTTGTTGATTTCTACAGGCTCTTTAGTTGAAATCGACAACACTGCCTACTTACTCATAGCTACTGTCATTTATAATCACTAATATCATTCTCAAGGATTCAATGACATAGACATTTACTACATTGGCCCGTTCTAGGATTGGACTTAATCTGGGAGCCTACATTCCTTGAAATATGTATTTATTTTATATTATTTAGGTGCTATAGATATATCTTTTCTCCCTGAATTTTTTCAATAAAATAATAAAATGATTTCCATATGAATAATTGGGCTATGTTCAGTTATGTCCAAATTTCATGAGTATAATTCTTTTTTTCAATTTTTTCTATAGAACACATATGCTCACCAGAGAGAAACAGAGAGAGAAAGAGAGGAAAGGGGAGAAGTCAACTCCCGGGGGTAATGGCCATGTTGCAGTCCTCGCTCTTTTATTTTTTCTCAGGATTCTTTTCAAGCTGCCAGTCCTGGACTTGAACCACAGTCAGCCATGTGGAATCCAGCATCCTAACTGCCACACCACCTGCTGGCCCTACATGAGTATAATTTTCATATGAATGATTAATTTTAGTCAAATTTCTCACCTGTTGGTACAAGATTGATGATGTTCAGGGATGGTTAATATGAATAAGCTCGCACAGAAACACACTTTATAATTTAGTTTGTTCTCATCCGAAGATGCTTTCAGAGACATTTGTGTATATCCCACTATCAAACTGCACTAGGAAACTCGCTGTATGATCTTGGTCATAAAACATACATCTAACTTTGCTCTCTCTTTCCTTTATCAATGAAATGAACTCATAATATATATTTCATCCCAAGTTGAAATTCTATAGATCTCTCTAGTTTTTTTGTATCAAATTTCACACTTTCATGAACTTGTACTGTATTGTTTAGGAACCACTTAAAGAGTAAACATAATTACAATAGGGTATGGGAGAAAAATAGTTTGGGGTAAATTATGAGCATTGTTAATTACTTACCCAAAACGCTCAGTACAATCACTGCTAGCAGAAGAGGAATTATCATTGCACATCCAACTTTCAGAAAAATTCCATGATGGTGAGAATCTGTAAAATTGATCAGGTTTCATTCATCAGAATAATATACGAGAAGTACTAGATACCATCAAACATCCAAACATCTGGATAATTGGCACTTCAGAAGGCCAAGAGACTCATAAGGGCATTGATAATCTATTCCATGAAATCCTGCAAGAAAACTTTCCAAACCTAGAGAGGCACTCAAAGATTCAGTCCTAAGATACAAGGGACCCAAATAGAATTAACCCAAGAAGATCTTCTCCAAAACACATTATAGTCAGGTTGACCAAAAACACAAAAACAAGATACTAAGATTGGCAAGAGAAAAACATCAAGTTACCTTCAAAGAGTATCCTATTAGGCTAACAGATGACCTCTCATCGGAAACAATACAAGTGAGGAAAGAATGGGAAAATATATTCAAAGTGTTAAGAGAAATGCAATTTCAGTCAAGAATACTATACCCTGCAAGATTATCTTTCATGTGGGAAAAAAAGACAAGAACATTCTCAGATAAACAAAATCTGAAAGAATTTACCAGCACCAGACCAGATCTCCAAGAAGTTCTCAAGGGAGTGCTCTATCAGGCAAACTAAATACAGACACACAGAAATACGAGTTCAAAAACTAAGAAAGTGGCCAACTTAATCATAGGGACAAATCTGGAGTTGAATATTATATCCCAGAATTTAATCGGGAAAATAGAACCACAACAGAAGTACATGAGACTGAATTGGTGAGGTATAATTTTATGACTTTTGACTAAAACATTGCTGATTTTCTTGTAGACTTTGTTATCTGGTTGTAAGGATTTGTGTCCCCATCTTGAGATATGGATAGGTTCATGTACCTACCATTTGAACAGAATCCTAACCTGTTTCCTGACTTTAAGTTTTAAGCAAAGTTCCTTAGCATTTCTTTGATTCAAGTTAAAACTGGTTTTCTTAATAGTACCAAGTAAACTTGCTATTGAAAGTAATTAGATTATTTAAGAAATTGTGTGATCAATACAATGTGTGTGGGGGGGAAGGAATGGCAGACAACTGTAGACATCAGAGATAGTGTGAGAAGAGGGTGGGAAAGGACAGACAGTCAGAAATAGGGGTAAAAAAAATACTAGAAACTAGAAATGAAAAATTTTTGATAATAACATGCATGATTAAGCCACTATGCAGTGTATTCTGGATGGGAAATCACATTTTATATGCTGTGACAATGCTTAGGGAATGAATGTAAATTAAGTTAAGAAAAAGAAAAGTTTCAGGAAAAAAAACTAAAACTGTATTTCATGAAATTAAAAAAAAAGCATTAAAAATACCTGTTCGATGACTGCAGTAAGATATATAGCCCCTGCTAGATGCTACTTTATAGGATGTTCATTCTACTCACTGAGGCTTATGCCTAAAGTTGGACTTGTGTTCATGGAAATGTATATATCAGCTGTGCTTGCTATGAAAATATTTAGATTAATTAAGATCTTTAGTGACTCAGTAAAATGTGGGGGGAAAAAAAGTATAAAAAGCAAACATAGATACCAGAGACAGTGTGGGAGGAGAGTGGGAGATGGCAGAGGGTAAGAGGTAGGGAATCAAGGATAAAAAAAAAAAAAGCAAAACATACAGGAAACAAGAAATGGAGAATTATTTGTTCATGATAGCATGTATGTTGATGTGCTTGATTGAGCCAATATACAGTGTACTCTGGATGGAAAATCTCATTTTGTATGCTGTAATGATGTACAGCAAATTAATGTAAATAAATAAATTTAAATAAAAAGAAAAGGAAAAGAAAATACACTGTTTGAAACATCTATAATTTTTGAGGTGGTTTTGTGATGAAAGCACAATGTTCGTTTTAGCCACAAGCCCAGCTCTTCGCATTCCTAAAACACAAAGTTACTCAAATAGTCATTAATTCTAAAGTCCACAAAATAGGATACTAACATTTTCTGTTCTCTTCATATAGTTTAACTATTTTATTCCATCCGTGTACAAATTCCAAAAGGATAAATAACAATGGGAATAATTCTCAAAGATATTCTCCACAGTGAAAATAAATTTATCATATTATGTGAAAAGGGCAGATTTGATTGAGGAGGAGTAAAGCTATAAGAGAAGAAAAAGGGGAACCAGCAGTTAGCGTAATGGCTATGTTGCTGGACTCCCATGTAGTCGACCGCGGTTCGTGTCCCGGACCCAGTGGCTTAAAACTCACGCTGGGCGCGTGTGTGTGCGTGACCAAGATCCCGAGAGGAGAATGGAGGAGAAGGGATTGCAGCGTGACCATCCCCCCTGGGGGGGTGATTTCTCGCTTTCTCGCTTTCTGTCTCTATGTCTCTCTCTGTCTGGCGAGTGCACGCACCCTATAGCAAAAAAAAAAAAAAAAAAAAACCTCTCCCCCCCCCAAAAAAAAAGAGAAGAAAAAGATCATTACTATAGCTATAGATATCATTTTATGAGTATGGATGTTTGCCACAAGTAACATAAGCAGTAGAGAGATTATGAAAGCAAAAGTCAAGTTCTACATATGAAGACCAAAGTGACCATTAACCTGAAGAACAGACGTTTTATTTCATTAGAAACACTCACTTCACTCTTACAGTGAGTAACTTTTACTTTGGACCCAGTATTCCATGTCCAGTGTGACAGACATAAGCTCAGGACAGAAATAAAAGAAATTAAAAGTAAAATATTTATTCTAAAAGGCACCCTAAATCCAACTTACCTGACCTGTGAGGTGGAGGTGAATGCTCTACAGAAGCCTTGGCAATCTTAATATCAGCGTAGACTACATCTCCAGCCATGGTGTGAATCAAGAAAAGAGAGATGACTGCACATTATGTTCTGCTGAAGGGAGGCTCATATTTCTGCAAACTAGCTTGTGCTAAGTTAGATAATGCTCCCTGGGGGAGGGAGACTTCCTCCTAAATGAATGACAAAGCAGTGTGTCAGTCTTAATTAAGGTAAAGGAGTTTTGAATACTTGCAGGATATGGAGGAAAACTCCTGACTGTACAGTGGGTTCTTTTTTATTTTATTTATTTTTTTTTGAGAAGCTTTTGCTATAGGGTGCGTACGCTCGCCAGAAAGACAGAGAGAGACAGAGAGACAGAAAGTGAGAAATCACCCCCCAGGAGTGGTGGCCACACCACAATCCTTTCTCCTCCATTCTCCTCTTGGGATCTTGGGCACGCACGCACACGCCTGGTGTAAGTTTAAGCCACCAGGTCCAGGATTTGAACCGTGGTCGACTACATGGGAGTCTAGTGACATAGCCATTATGCTAACTGCAGGCCCTGTGTACAGTGGGTTCTTATACTTCAGTTAGTGGATTTCTTTTTTTTTGTTTGCTGGTTTGTTTGTTTGTTTTGCTTTGAACAAGATGTTTATTCAAAATAAGCTGTCCAAAATGATGTTATCTTTACAGAATAAACAAATGGGTTAAGTTTCAACATGATCCTTAGGTTTTTCAGTGGATTCTTCTTAGGACTCTGCGATGGATCTTCTTGCATGGTGCTCGGAGGGCTCTTTGGATCTCTGGACTTTTCAAGACCCTGCTAAGGTCCGTGTTCATCATCTAGTGCCTGGGAAGGTTATAGTTACTCTTGATATATCATTCCAGGCCTTAAGTTTCTTCAGAAGCAAAACAGCTTCCTTGGTCTTCTTATAGCCTTCAACTATCTTCACCCACCAAAGGAAGTTCAGGAACTTCCTCAACACAATGACCTCTAGATACTAGAGCTGGTAAAACCGAGGCGGCCAGGGCAGAACAGATGGCGTACTGCTTTTCGGTTGTGTTCACTCTGCGGTGCCAATACCACCAGGTCTTAGTTGGTGCAAACATGCGACCTCTTCGACACGTATTTGCAAAAGCACCCTGGCCAGAATGGTGAGTCCCATCACCCTGAACTCTGGGAATTCGAGTCACAGCTCTCCCAGTACCCCAAGGCTCAGCACTGGTCTGATGACCTGCTAATTCACTGACAGCATAGGGCTGTCTGTTATTTTTGTGCAAGCTGGTGTGAACAAAGTTCACGATATCTAGTCAGATGGGAGCCTTGAGTACTGCAGGCAAGGTGACATGTTTGTCAGACGACTCCCCCTTTTCAGAGTACACAGATATCAGTGGACGAGCACACACCTGGTGGGGAGGGGAGAGGACCCTGCTCCTCTCGACCCAGCGGCTCCCACAGGAAAAGCTGTGAATTTCCTTCTTTTACTTTTTTGTTTTTTTTTTTTTTTTTGCCTAAAATTGGAGTAGTATTTACTTTTATTAATACTGAAAATGTTACCGCATCATGAACTTCTATAAACTAATTCCTCCTTTAGGTCAGTCATATTTATTTTCCTGGAAATAATTGTAATTATCCAGCATCTTCTTCAACGTGGAATAGTAATTTGAGGAGGGGGACAAGGAAGAGAAGGGATTTATTACAGATGGGATAGAAAGCACTACTTTTTGTTCAATGTTCATCTTGAAATGCTTTGTGGTTGTCTAGATAGTACTTTTAACATTCTTTCGTTATTTCATGGGCTGATCATATAGCCTAGTTAGCTAAGGGAGCTGGATTCCCCCGTGGCCAACTCGGTTTAAATCCTGGCCCAGCAGCTTATAAAACATGATGGTAACACGGGCATGTGTGCCCCAAATCCCGTCAGGGGAGAGACGGAGGGAAGGGCTGTGGCATGAGCATGCCTCATGGAGCAGGGTTTTCTTTCTTTACCTGTCTCTCTCTGGGAAGCACATGAGGCTTCTGGCAATCATCATAATAATAATAAGCCATTTCTTCCCTCATTTGCTTTATAATACTAACCGTAAACTGGAATGACGCAGATGATGCAGATAAGTGGATTAGGCTGAGGACTTCTAAACTGAACTATAGATGTTTATATATCAGAAATAACCCTATGTCAAAATAATCAGAAATAACTCTCTATCAATGTAACTTAAGGCTATGAAATAATTTAAATATTCTTAATTTTAAAATAAGGTTTATAGAAATTCACCATTGAATTCACTGAAGGGGTTTTTTTTTATTTTTGGAAAAGGCTATTTTATTTTATTTTTATTTATTTTATTTATTTATATTTTTTGGAGAGGTTTTCACTATAGGGCGCGTGCACTCGCCAGAAAGAGAGCTAGAAAGCGAGAAATCACCCCCTGGGGGGATGGCCATGCCTCAGTCCCTTCTCCTCCATTCTCCTCTCGGGATCTTGGGCACACACGCACACGTGCCCGGCATGAGTTTAAGCCGCCAGGTCCGGGACTTGAACCACGGTCAACTATGTGGGAGTCCAGCGACATAGCCATTACGCTAACTGCTGGTCCCGGAAAAGGATATTTTAAACACAGAATTTTCATCTCCTGTTTCTTCTCAAATTCCACTAAGATAATATTAAATTAATATATAAATTCTTCTCTAACACAATAACAAAAAAGCAGGACTCTATCAACTGATGAAATATTTTAGCAAATTTCTGGAGATGTGATCATTGATGAAGATCACCAAGACCATGCAAAGGAAAATAACTGAGGAGAGAATCCAGTTCCTCGTGTAGGACTCAGAATCTCGGAATCATTGGACATGCAAAAATGGCAGAGCCATAAGCTTATGAGCAATAGAGTAACTGGAATTCCACCCATGAAAGACTTGATTTTTCTCAACATCCACCCAAATGCATCGGACAGAATGATCTATATGTGACTAGATGATAGTTAAAGCAGTTTAATCTGCACTTTATACATGAAAAACTGGCTTTTAAAAATGATATTATTTGTAGGTATTTGTGTAATCATAATATATATATATATATGTATATATATATATAAATTTTTTTTTTTTGGGGAGGTTTT